AAACACCAATGGAATTCTGCTTTCCAACCATCTGAAAGCATCAGAATCAGCATGCGTTTGCATGCAAACACCAATGGAATTCTGCCTTCCAACCATCTGAAAGCATCAGAATTAGCATGCGTTTGCATGCAAACACCAATGGAATTCTGTTATCCAAACCTTTCGGAGCCAGCCCCTACCCAAAGGCAACAACACAACAACACACACAAACCAAACATACCCCCCAGAAAAGGGAAAAAAACAACACACACACGCGTGCACTCAAATGAAATCCTTTTCAGCGTTTCTTCTGTTCAACAAATTTCTGCTTCAAAAGAAGCAGGTATCTTTGCAGACCCCGCTTTGCGGTGGTCTTCCGATGAGTCTTTCTCACCATCCTTGCAATCTTCTTAATCCAGTCCTCGTCGCCCCAGGTTGAATCCTGGGCTGGATTCCTGCGCGATTTCCGCAATTGGGCATCCAAAGCCAAATGAACGACCAAATGGAACTTTGGTCTGATTTTCCAGACCTTTGGTTCCAAATGAACATGCTGGACATACAGTTTGCAGAAAGATTCGCCCAATATCCGAACTTGGGCAGCCATCTCATCACAGAAAAAAGCAGGCCCTGCGTTCAACAGTCTGGCAAAGCTTTGCGCGCACCAAACCATCGTAGCCATCAGTGTAAAGGAATCATCTGCGCACTGTTCCAATTCACTACTCAGCCACTCTAAGATTATGTAGCTGTCGTAGCCCTTGGCGTGCAGCTCCTTGGCAGTCACCCGCCGACTAGGTAAAACCAAGGAGGGAAAGACGTTACAAAGGAAAAAACAAGGAAAACTTGAGAAACGCATCTGCAGGACAGGGTGTTTACCACTCTTGAGGTTGAGGTTGTCTTGCGTAAACTTACGTAGGGCTGTTCTCTTCCCAAACCTTTGGCAAAACTCTCTCAAGCGGTGGCTCGCTTGCCAAAGACGCCTCTCTAACTTCTGCCTGCCAAACCATCCACCACGTATCAGCTTGTGCATAACCCCTCCGATCCTAAACGCGCGACCACATGCAATGAGCAATCAAAACGGTGAAAAACAATGTTGAACACAGAACTAGTGCTGCCAAACATCAAGTCCCTGCAGCAACCCAAATGCCAAATGTGTAAGGCATCATAGCCAATCCGGGTCACCTGAAAAAAATATAGACCAGCAACTGCCGGCTCTACGGTCCATGGCAAAGGACTTGTCCAAATCGTTGATCTCCATGGCGCTGCAGCCGATAAATCTGTGAGGTTGTACTCACCCTGCTTGCTTGCAAGGCAGCAAAAACATACCTGACATCAAGACTTGACAGGCACACCGTTACACCCCAAAAAATCAGAGCAACAGTTGATGCCAGCAGAGTGCCTCATGCGTTTGTGGATGTCTCGTCAGGTTCATGCATTGCTTCAAGAATTTCCAGTCTCCACGCAGTGTGCTGAAGATAAGTCGCCCAGTCCATCCCTTACTGGGCCGCATCAACAACCCCAAAAAGAAGACTTCAACACCAAAACCACAAAGGTGGCCCGAGTGTCTTTCGGATCACGGCCTTCTGGGTCATAGGTACCAGTGGAAGAAATTGGGATGCCATCATCTGCAAGTTGGTTCAAAGAATCCACGGCATAGCGAATCACAGCTTGGAGTGTGTGATTTGTTTTGCCCGCCTGATTGGACAAGGGCCGAGCCCCACAATACACCACCAACCCACCCATCAAAAGAAAAAATTCAGCTAATAAAACCAAAACGCTATCCAGTACCGATCTGAAGGGATGATGCAAATCAAAAAGCGTGAGAGAAGGGAGTCACTGCTGCACTTGTTGAGCTGCGGGTGGAAATGCAACTTCATGCAGGAGGCCCTGAAAATGGTGGACTCATCTCCATAGAGGGCGAATGGTGCATCATGCTCTGGATCGACTGCGGACCTTTCGCTGGGCGAAAGATCTTTCATCATATGCCCCCAGAACTCAATCCTGTCAGTCTTTGTGCCAAAAATTTTGTCATAGTGCCCTTCACGCACCAAAGCGATAGCAAGGTTATGTGGAAGCAAAATAGGCCATGGAATGATTTCCATCTCTCCATC